AATTGTTTCTGTTTACAGTGATGGGCAACCTCTTTAGGCCAGATTTATCACAATTATTTAATTATTGACACGTTTATGCATACACACATACAGTGTGTCAGGGAAGAGTATTTTGAATTCTAAGACTTGTTTTTTAAGAAAAATTCCCTAATGTGTGTCTCTCTCACCGAACGTTTTCATGTTTTAATTGTTTTTTTTTTTTTTTGCATACCTGTAAGTTGGTTCGACTTTTACGCATTGCTTACATTAAGGAGTTACTGGTTTTACCAAATATGGCACAGGGTTTTTACAAAGATTTAAGTTGAAGTTTAAAAACGGTTATTGTTGTTGTAAATAGCATAGAGCTTTAAAGCTATTCTTTTAAGTATTAAAAGATAATATTAATTTATTTATTATTGAGGTCTTGCCTCTATATATTACATTAAACAACAATAGTATTCATTTTAATTTAAATGTTAATTACAATTTAATGCCAAGAGAGACATCTAAAGAGTCAAATTAAGTCTGGGGAATATTAAGTTTTTATTTATGGAAAACAGAGAGTGCTAGGTGACTTGAGAATTTAAAATGTAAAAAGCTGACAGGCCTTAATATTTATTTCATTAACTTTGGCCTGCACAAATAAATGTTTTACATGGAATGTTTATACAGAACTTGTTACAGCAAGTGTTTTACATGAACATTTGGCTCTCTAGTTCATCTTTCTTGACCTGGTTTCATTTTAACCTTGAATCATTGAAGAAAATATCTATTTTCACTCCATGTCGGGTCACTGAAATTTTGATCGGGAGGGGTGCGAAGGTCTTAAAGACCAATATTTATTACTAGAATTTCCAGAGGGGGTGGGGTTTCAAGTCAGAAAACCTTGCATGGGGGGAGTATAGATATTTTCTAGAACAAAACAATTTATTTTCATGGTTATTTCTTTCATTTAAGGGAAGTTTACCAAAAGTGGCCGACAAGTGCAGTTTTTGCACTTTTTTGTACATTTTGCTTTTTAGACTTAATAATGTCACAGTCAATATTCTTTTTAGCGCAGACAATTTATTTTGTTTTAGTCTGCCATGGGATCTACACTTTACCAGATAAAATGATAATTTATTCCCAACAAAGAAGATAGGAGAATTTTACATTTGAATAATATGCAATTTCAACGTGTAATTTATTTATTGAATTCATTAGCTAGTTGATTATGTTAGGGGTTTATAAGAAATGTTCCATGAGAATGTCTCGTATATTCCTCACAGTTAAGTTACCAGAATAAAATCTTTGAAACAAGTGAACAAAAGATTCTGTGGTGCTCTGTATGTTTTAAAGGGCCTTTGTCAAGCTATGCGCTGAAACGTGTCTCTGCATCAATTAAATTCCAACAATATAATGGTCCAGGTTGTCGTTAAGACTATTTTTAGACATTGAAACTGTTTCCTGTCGTCTGTTGCATGCTGTGGATGGCAAGGATGCAAGGATGGGTGGACTTTAATTGTAACTTGAAAACATTGTGCCACCTTTTTTTACGTTTTTTGATGCTACGCCTGCAAAAATCACCAAAAAATTATGATTAGTGCTCGCTGGTGAAAATTGATTGATATATTCGTATCTCAACAGGGTCAAGGCGCTAGCTAGCTAACTGTAATGGCTTCGGCACAGTTTTGACCAAATCAGGAATCATATCCTCTGACATTACCCCTTTAAGACAATTGCCTTCGGCAAGAATTTTAAGTAAATCGACCTCGTAACTTTAAAAAATCATAGCTCTGCTGTTATTAGGTTGAATATCATCTTCAAAGCAAGTGTTCGAAAGAGTATTCTTGACTTAAATATAAAGGCTGTTATTGACAATGGCTCAATCAATAGTGACAAACTTGTCAGGCGTGTTTAATGATGAAAAGCTTTACAGGATGAACACTTTGTGCTGAAAAGTCTGTAAAGTAAGTTTTACTTTGCCCTTGCACGTCAGACTATAATCATATTGTTATCGTTTTTGATTTTGGACAAGAAGTTATCTGCCTTTCTTCATCCAGACCAGAGACCTGCTGTCAAAAATGATTGCTAATTTTCTAAGAAAAAAAGTTCATTTATAGCAGTTTGTAACGGTCCATTAGTGGAACCGGAAGTCCTTTTTTTGTTTGCTAACTTTGAGGAAGATCATTGCTGTCTAATAAACTGGAACGAACATTGCCGCAGATCTGATAGCGTTTGAAGCAATATCCGGTTGTCAATCAAAAGGTTAAGAGGGGCATTCACTCTTGACCTGTTATTTCCTTCTGAGCACTTGTTCAATCGACTTCCTGTTTATCTCTACAATCTGCCCGTTTCCACAAGATAGAATTGTGCAATCGTCAAGTTTATTTTACCTAATTTTAAAACAGTGCATAATTCAACTTTAAAATTTGTAAATGTAGAAAAGAAAGAGATTTTTATATCACGTGTTTATGTTTATGGATACCTATCTTTACTCAGCCGGGTCGTATTTGTCAAAACATGCTCGACAGGTTGCCCAAGTCTTCAGCTTGGTCACGTATAACTCATGAAAGCAAATAGTTTACAGTATACGGTCGAATACGGACACTTAGGGAGTCATACAAAGAATCCGTGTTATTGACGGGGTGTCTGTCAAATGTCCGTTGTCCGTAGAGAAAATGTGAGGGCTTTCTTTCCCCAGGGACAAATCAAACCTTCCCTATTAAATAAATAATGAGATGTCCCTCATTCTGGGTGTCCGTAAAGCGATAACTCGAACTCGGATAATTCGAATTTCCCGCTAACTCAAACTAAATTTCATTTCCCTTGATCAAAGTTCTCATTGAAATTTACCCGATAATTCAAATTCTCCGATAACTCGAACTGTCTTTCGTTTCCCTTTATAGTTCAAGTTACCGGGGTTCTATTAGGTGTCTTCTGTGTATATATTTACCGTTAGTCTCCACCGGTATTTTCCGAGGAGCTGTGCTACGAAATTCATCAAAACTGAAACAGCGGGAACAGCTACTTAATTGAAAGAAACATAGCAATAACCTCTCAAATCATGAAAAGAAGCCGTTTTAATTACACAGCAAATTCAAAACAGCTGTCAAAAGGACAAACTTAGAGAAGATTGAAACGGGTTGCAATTGTGGTTGTATGAAAGCTTGTTAGCCTGACAGCTTTTCAGAGTGGAGTGCAAAGTAGACTTTCAAAAAAGGCTCTCGTCCGATTTAATATGGCGCTACCTCTCGCGATTTCGTCGCTGAACTCGCGAGGTCGACTTGTAGCAAGTCTAGGTGCAATGTGCAAAAGCTAAAAGTACAGGAAGTCGTAGGTTATGCAGCCGAAGATCAAAAACAAATCCGACTCGAGCTGGTGACTAAACCATTGATCAGTTGATTAATACAGTCTATCATTTATTAGTGAATCAATAATAAGGGGGAGGGAGGGGGGATAAAAGAAAGGGCTTATTCATTAGAGAGAGGGGCTTAATTGTTTTTTTACGGTACGTTAAAGGTACGCTTAAATGTACTCAAACGTGCGTGTCATTTACACGCAAGAAAGACCCCGATCAATCCTTTGTCGAGATGCACCTTTATTTGGGTTTACTGTGTTCACAATAAGTAATTCAGCTGGGCTTTTTGATTTTCTTTCATTGAGTGGATTGTCCAAGGAAGAATCCACTGCCGCTTTTGTGAATTATTTGGAATGGTCTCACTGTGATCTACTGGAGAAAAAGCATAGTGTGAACGTGAAACAGTCTCTTGTTTTCTTCAAAGTCACAGGAGTAGGACGCGCGGGCGGCAGCACAGCCGCGAGAAACGAGGACATCAGCCCGAGTGCTTAGGCTTACTGCGCCTGAGAACTCGACGGACCTAAAAGAAAAGGCGGACTGCTAGTATTCTAGGGAAAACGTTGCGTGACCTTGCCTACACTGCCGAAAATTTTTGTTCTAACTTCCTGTTTCCAATCAATATTAGTCAACTGCCAGAAGTGAAGGAGGAAAAACTGCACCTATACCGCGAGCGCACCGAGACACCCAAGGCTGTAGACTGAGCCAACGTCTGACTCTGATGATAAGGGTTATACTGAATCATGTCTTCACGCGTCGCTTTCCAGTCGTGTACAAACCAAACCAAGTACGCGAGCGACGTGACGACTCGACGAAGCGAAGCAATGCCGTGCATTTTTGTTCAAAAGCGCCCTCTAACTCTTCCTTTAGTCACCCTTACAAACGAATGACAACAGAATACAAACTTTCTAGCCTGTTTCATTTAATTCCACTCGGGCTTGCTGGATATTAGATGAGTATACATGTACCCAATAGATAACAAAACAAACCAAGTACGCAACTGACAAGCAACGCGCGCGACTTCGTAAACTATAAAGCTATGCAGAAGAGAAACCTCTGCTCGCAGGATAGTTGACCTAATTCATATCGAAAAAAAGTAGCCTCTGCTTACGTAGTAGACCATTGAACGTATGCACACACCGTCCACTCCTAGATCAAAACGAGCATAAGGGCAGTTACGCCGAGCTTTTTCTTCAAAAAGCGCCCCCCCTAACTCTTTCTTAATAGTCGCCATTACAAACAAATGAAAACAGAATACAAGCTTTGTAGCCAATCGGGCTTGCTGGTGAGACGACTATTCATGTACGCAACAGATATCTTTTATCCAACTAACATACAAAAAAGGACAAATTACTTTAACATCTATGCAGTTTTGAACATAGCGTTTTACAACTTATTAGAAATTCCTAAATGCGAAAGTCTAAATTAAAAAGGCTTAGTTCAGATGGTTATGTTTTATCGTGGGGAACATTATCAGTTAGAGTTCTGTTTTTAAAAGCTCCGTTTAGTATCGTTGTTTTTTCGTAACCTGTCGTAAGCCATCGTTCGATTTTCGTCAGACCTCAGCAACTATATCAAGGGATTAGATCAGAAGATATGAGATCAGCGTTTATATTTAGGACAGTTGGTTTTCCTTTGTTTCCTTAATTAAACAAGATATCCAAACCAAGTTTGATTCCACGCCCCAAAAAAATGGAATAAGAGCCAACAGTTGTTTGCAATGAGCTATAAACAGGACGCTACTCCGCGTGTTATCAGCTTAAGACGAACTTGGAAAAGTCTTGAAAATGTCAACAAAATAGCAATGGAAATCCAGGAAAATAACCGGGATCGAAATGGAAGCAGACAGTCTCGCAAAAGAGCCAGATCAGAAAGCGAGGATCCCAAAACGAGAAAACAACGGGAAAAAAGAGATTTAGAAGCAATCTGTGATGCTGCCAAAAAACTTAGTGAAGCGTTCGGAAGGGTGGACCGCTATGGGCACGATGTACCTTGTATTCGACCGGTCCGCGAGCTTTGTGGAAAAATACGAGCCCAGCTTAACAACGAACATGGAACGTTTAACAGAACTCTAGAACGCCTGTGCGACAATTTCGTGTCGGGGCATAAAAAAATCACTCACTCTGCTACCACTTTAAGAAATTTGGTCAACTCTGTTACGAGCGACGAAACTGATTACATCGCTAAAGTAGAAGACATGAAACAGTGTTTGGGTCAGTTAATGGGGATAGTGGAAACAGTGTTGTTTTTAGAATATCGAGAGTTATAGACCTTCTCATTTCTCTCGGTTAATCTGCCAGGCACTAGTGACTGAATATGATTGCCAGTGACTCAACGAGACATGCTTAAATTCTGCAGATAAAATTCGATATTAATCATTTTAGTACATCGTTAAGTGTAAGCGAATGCCGGTTAACGATTAGAAGATTTGTGGAAGAACGACTGCTGGACATCAAAGCTTAATTTGCTGACGGTTCCAGCGTCCGTCGTTCTGATCTATGCCTGGGTTCATTTAGCCAAGATCCCGGCAATTTTATGTTAAAAAAGACATAAATTAATATAATTTCTCAATTTTTGATACCGTAACTATTGTTTTGCTTTTAAAACTCTGGATTTCGCTGTCACCTGCCACTGTACCCTGGTCACCCGTGACATTTTACCAGTTCATCTGCCGGCGAAACAGATTGCCTTTTCACCAAATAATAGATATAAGCACAGCTATCACCGGTCGTATGTGAATTGATTTAGAGGGCATACTATATATATACCATGGCAAAATGACGACAATAGACCTAATTCACGATACTCGCCATATTTGAACGCGCTTTGGATTGATGAGATGAAAGCGACGATGTCACGTGGTATTTCAGGAGGCAGTCAAGTGATAAAAATTTGTCAATACGAGGAATCCCTGTCGAGTTTGTTTATGGTCTCAAAACGAGACGACCATTTTAGTTTCGCAAAATGAACAGTTCGAGTACAAGTTAAGTATAGCTTACTCTGAGGACATCTACGGTCGCCACTGACTGCATCCCGAAAAGAAACAATGATGACTTCCGATCATAATTTGCCATCATCGTCTTTAAGATAAAAAGTTCTTTTTTTGTTATCTAGAATAAACAAACTCGACTGCGATTTCTTGCAACGGCAGATTTGAACACTTGTTTGCACCCTGAACATTCACGTGACATTGCTTTATCCCATCAGTCCTAAAGCGCGTGCAAAGATGGCGGGTATCGCGACACATTAACTAAGAAACAAAATAACCATTATTGCTCTTAGATTTCCTATAGAACTCAGCTGTGTCACTTACTTAGAGATTTCCGCCTTATAGAGAGTCATGAGACAGACATCTCCTTAAGACAGACACTCAGTGCCGAGAGAGAGTTGTTGACTGTAATTTAATAATAAGCGAATCCCAACAAATGAACAGTTCACAATAGACTACTAAGTGTTTCCCAAGACTCCCGAGATTACAGTTGGAAGCCAAACACGCTTGTTAGGTATGGTCATCCTCGTTCCCAGGATTCCGGCTCTCCTACTTGTCACCCGGGGAAGGAGAGGAATCTAGGAACGAGGTTGAGGGAGGCTTTCACTAGCCTCCACGCAGGCGTTTTTAGGGGAACTCGTATTTCGTCCCTTCCCACAAACGGCGTTTCTGGGGAGGGAAGAAATACGAGCTCCCCTAAAAATGCCTGCCTGGGAGGCTACGCTTTCACCAGTGCAGTGCTTGTAGTTTGCCACGTAGTTATCACTACTGTTTTGTACGTGAGATGAGATCGACTGACTTAGTTTTTTCACTATTCTTTAGTTGAGGAAATAATTAGAAGCACAATAATTGTTTTTAGCAGGAAAAGCTGTTAAACCACAATCTTCCAATCTGGTCAGAACGATATACATGGCCTGGCATGAAGTTTCTTCCGCCACGACAAAAGTTCATGGTGGACGTCTATATCACTCTGTATAACCTTACTTATTTATAGCGCCGACAGAAAAATGACCAAAATTAACTCAGACTAGTTAATCGCATTAATCTCAGGTTCACGGAAGCGAAAGCCTTCTGCAGGAAGTCATTTATGCATTTATAAAACCGATACGTCACCCGGGTTAATATGTGAATAATACTACAAGGTAGGACTAAAAAAGCATTGTGAAATTTGTCATCTTTATTGTGCAAATTTGAAGGGCATGGATTTCCGACTTGAAGGCCAAAATAAGTTTTACTATCGTAACAACTTCTATTACAACCAATTTTTTTTTCAAATTAGTCATAGCCTGCGTAGCAATCGTTTCCGGGCGAGTTAGTCGAGGAAGTTGGGACGAACAGGCTAAATTAGCCATTATCTTAAGCATCGTGCGTGTATGAACTATTAAAAGTCTAAAAGTTCTGTAAGACTTATCCATTCACCCCCGCATCTTCAATTTAGGCGTTTTTCGAGTAAGTGAATTCCCTACGATTTCGAAAGTTTGGTTTTTGTCCTTTTATTTTCTAGTTATGACACTTTATATTCCCAGAAAATAAACCCTAGACTGCGGTGCAGCCCGCCCACGTATCGACTAAAGTGTGGATGTAGTCCAAAGTTTAAAGGGTCTGCGCGCAGGCTAATAAACCCCTGAATTTTCCTTTTTGGACATATAATCAGAAACCGCAAGTTTCCGTCAGGGTCTTTACTTCATAGCTCAGTTTGATAAATGACGCCCGGGATTTTCGTAAAATTATCTTTAAAAAGCTCTAAAAAGGCTAAATTGGGGTCCTTGAAATACCATACAGAAAGAAAATAGAAAGCTATTGGTTGGTTGCCTGCGCATATTCTCGAGCGACAGAAATTTTCTCGAACAGATATTCAGTACGACAAGAAAACAATCGAGCAAGCCAAGATAATTTAACCACCACATACCAATGTGCAAAATCAGCTATGCGGGTGAACATTTTTCGCGAGATCAAAGTAATACCAGCGCAAAAATACTGGCTCTCAAACGTCAACGTACTTGGTGTTAATTTACCCCATTTGCGCTCGACTGATTACCCGATTGGGTAAAGCATCCATGTTTATAGATCCACCTGGTGTCCCGAAACATTTAATTACCATATAAATGTATTATATCACCAGAACCCATGTTAACCCCCTAATTAACCTTGTGAAAATTTAGCAAGTTAGCAACATTTTACCCCGTTTACCCTTGTTTACCCTAGGATATCCACTTTTCGTCCTGTATGGTCATGTTTACCCCTACATTATCCACGTTCCACAACGTTTACTGGTGTTTACCCCTATTTATCCACGTCTCACAGCGTTTGCTTATTTCTATTCATAAGTATCCACGTTTTACAGCGTTTAATAGTGTTAACCCTAATTTACCTACATTTCACCCGTTTACTGTTTACCCGTAGTTTACTTCGTGTCACCCTGTTTACCCCATATATACGGGACGCCTGGTGGGCCTTACAAGGTAGCATTGCCCAATACTGGGTAGTATAGGCGTCGCGTAGAAGACAAGGAAGGGAGTTGGGTGGAGATGGTAGGCCACACGAGCTACATTTACGCTAGCAAATTGACATGGAAAACCTCTATAAAACAGCTCATGGTGTAAACGGGGAACTTGACAAGTTTTTCCTCGTCAAAGAAATACTTGATCGTGTGAACGGGAGCATACTACAATCAGATTCTCGTTTAATACCAGGGTTGTCGGTTACTTTCTCTCTCTCGCTCCGGAGGGACGAGTAGGAGAGAAACCTGGGAACGAGGTTGTCTATCATTGATATACTCCCCCCTTACCCCCCCCCCCCCCGTCCATGCAAATAAAAAGCACCGTTGCTCTATCAACCAATCAATCAATCAATCAACTTTATTTAAACACGGTAAATGGCTCAGCAAGCTGGTTTTCAGACATGCCGTGTGATAATTACAATTTATAAAAATTAAGACTAGTGATTAACTAACAATACAATATAACAGCAAGAAATAAGTATTAGAAATAAGATAAAAACATGATAAAAGTTATATCCTAAGATATGGCGAGTTTAAAGCTAGTAAGATCCCCCATCTCACGTGTTTCATTTGACAGTTGGTTCCAAGCCATTGTACCCCGATAAGAAAATGAGCGCTTGAGAAAATTTGTTTTAGGTAGTGGTAGTTGGAGATCATAGTTAGAACCCCGCAAATTATAGTCATGAATTTCAGAGGTTCTATGAAACTGCTCCCGAAGGTACGTCGGACAATCATTATTGAATATTCATTATTGAACCACGTGTCTAACCCGCGAGTGAGCACTCCATTTATGGCAAACGAAGCGAACTGCGAGAGAACGCGCAAGAGAGCGACGAGGCACTCGCGTCTCTTTTAGCGCGCCGCTCTCGCGTGACTTTTCGTGACATCCCTAAATGCATGGAGAGCTTGCCCTAAGGCTACCACGTAAAAGGGAACACACATCAGTCCTCAACTGACAGATAGCCAACAATCTCAGAAGTTGACCACAATTGGGAAAGGTTCAGCATGTGACTTGACTATGTGGTTTCCGGGGGTCTTGTTGCTGAGCAACACGTGCGAATCGAGTGTTGGATTCGGGAACTGACACCTTTCCGTTTCTTCTCTTTTATATTAGTCAGGATTCAAAGGAAGATTACCATAAAAAGTTTTCCGTGTTTTCCCTCAGGATATTTCTCACCGATCAATGAAAGATTCTTTTGCACATAGGGAATGAGCTGAAATTAACTATAATCTGTAACTAATTTTAAGTAGTAGTCGTATGTCGCATATTTTACATGAAGTACCAAAACACGTCATATAAGATGTATTTCACTGACATGTATATTTCTGTAAATGCGTGATTTCTCATAAAACTCTCAAAAAGACTGGTATTGGCCAGTAAGAATAACTTTTCTAAAAAAACTGTGTCAAAAAGTTTTTGGTATCGCTTTAAAATCCATAACAGGAATAGCTACGAAAGGAAATCTTAAAATAATTGTCCAGGTGTGATTTTTGGCAGCGGATGTTTTGGATGAAAGCCGACTGCATTACATCTTGACATATCGGACAAATGAGGCATCAATATTCAATTTAAAACTCCTGTCCCGTGTCTGCGGAAGATCGATCAGTTTTTCTAAATTCTTCAATCAATACTTTCTTTTCGATCAGTTTTTTCGAGCAGTTTCTTTTGCGATAAAATGTACTAATCAGCCGAATTTCTCAAGTTTTATAGGACGCATAATAAATTCTATTTTGTTTAAGCAATGATTTTACCTTACTTTTTGAAAGGCCGGGAGGGCGG